ATCTCATTTTTTGGATGCATTTCAAGATAAGTTGCAGACATCACTTCACTCTAAACACCTCAACATACATTTAATCAGAGCTCAGTATTTGTTTAGACCAGGGTTCTTTTTTATTATTCATTTTTCTTTTTAAGCAAAATTTACATACAGTGAAATATACAAATCTTAACACGAGTTTTGAGAAATGCATACACCTATGTAACCTATGGGGTCGCTATGAGTCGGAATCAACTCGATGGCACCTAACAACTACAATGTGTAACCTAAACCTCTATCAAGGTATAAAACGTTTCCAACACTCCCAACAATTCACTTAGGCCCCTCCCGGGTCAATCCCCACTCCCAGCCCAGTCAACACACCCGATCTGACTTTTTTCATCATAGTTTAGGTTTTGCCTGTTCTAGGACATCCCAAACTTTTAAAAGGAGGAAAATGTAGAACAGAATTTCAAATTCTCATGGACTCCAGACTTCCTGGAACCATGAAGTTTGGATGAACCCCTGAAACTATTTCCCTGAGATAATGTTTAAACCTTAAACCAAAAATATCTCCTGAAGTCTTCTTAAAACCAAACAATAGTTTAGCTTAACTAGTAAAAACTGTCTGCCTTGAGAAGTATCCATATGGACCAAATTGATAACAGCAGCCCTGAAAGATTAGATAAGAACCTTAAGGGGCAGTGAATTTATGTTAATGGGGGATGAACAACTCAGAAAGGGAGGGTGAGAATGGTTGCACAACTCAAAGAATGTAATCAATGTCACTAAACTGTACATGTAGAAACTGTTGAACTGGTGTATGTTTTGCTGTGTATATTCTCAACAACTACAAAATAAATAAAATTATATACAAAAAAATTTGCAAAGCAAAAAAAAGCAGTGGAGAGTACACAGATATTCTCAAATACTGCAGGTAGGAGTATATATTGGCACAGCCTTTTTGGAAAGTAATCTGGCAATATTTAATATGTAATTATTAAGAATAAGGAAATACATATACATTCCTTTTGGCTGACCAATTTCAATTGCAGGTGTATCTCACTTCTCAGAGATATACCTGCAATTGAAATTACTAGGCCAGAAGGAATGCATACACACACACACACACACACACACACACACACACACACACAGCTCATATATACAAAGAGGCTGTGCACAATGCTGTTTATTACAGCATTGTTTGTAAAAGCTAAGAATTTTAAATACCCTAAATTGCCATTAACAGGAGAACGGTTAAACAAATGGACACTTGTGCTCTCCAGCAATTATAAGGAATGATTTATTGATACAGCAAGATCACCAAGGTATATCATGAAGCGCATGAAAGCAAGCTGCAGTACATTACAACACCCAGCATAAAACTATTACACAAAACACCAAAAGCAAAACAAACACAAAACACAAGCAAAAACACAGGCACAAAGGATCTTTCTTTGAGTACCTACGTATCCGTAAAGGCATAGAAAGTCTGTAAGGCCATATACCAAACTGTTACCGGTGGTTACCCCTGGTGGGGGGGGGGCTGAGATTAGGGGAATGGGGAGTAGGCGTGCTCCAGGGGTTTTCTTTTATTTGTATTGTTTGAATATTTTATGATAATACATTCATGTCTTACTTATGCGATAAAATTTATTTTTTAAAAACACTACAGACATCAATAAGAGCACTGGATAGGGAACAAGTGAATTTCCAGGAGGCGAAAAAGAGACTAAAAATACTTTTTGGCTATGCTACATTAAAAAAAAAACACACCAAACCCATTGCTGTCGAGTGGATTCTGACTCATAGCAACCCTATAGGACAGAGTAGAACTGCCCCATAGAATTCCCAAGTAGCACCTGGTGGATTCAAACTGCTGACCTGTTGGTTAGTATTAGCACTTAACCACTACACCACCAGGGTTTCGGGTTATGTCCCCTTGCAAAGGAGCTTTTCCCAGAATATCTATTAACACACATCTCTCTCCAAACTCTTCATTAATGCATAATTTACTCTTCCCTGCCACTCATGGTTTTTAAATGAAAGTGCTTGTATGTTCATAGATTATTAAGTACGCAAAATGTTTTCTAAATGAGAAATGGAATACAGCCATCTAGCATTTAAAGAGAAACCTTATGTTAAAACCTTTCTTCTTTTCATCCCACTAGAGGGTGAGGAGGAATGAAAATATCCTGGAAACTTAGGGTGCAAATGCAGAGACTAAAGTTCGATGCAACCTTAAGAAAAATGGGGGCTCATCTTAGGTTATAATGAACTGATACAGAAGCTTGCCTGATAAATCCTAAAAAGCCTTCAGACACTGGTTATTTAAGTGAGCAAATATTTATTGAGCATTTACTATGTGTCAGGAGTCCCTGGATAGTACAAACAGCTAACATGCTTGGCTGCTAACCAAAAGGTTGGAGGTTCAAGTTCATCCAGAGGGGCCTGGAAAGAAAGGCCTGGCAATCTACTTCTGAAAAATCAGCTATGGAAAACCCTATGGAGTACAGTTCTATTCTGACACACACGTGGTCGTCATGAGCCAGAGTCAACCCAACAGCAACTGGTTTGGTTGGGTTGACTATGTGTCAGAGGCAATGCCAGCTCATAGAAAGACGTATTCTCAACACCCCTTCTCCTCAAGGAGATCCCAGTCTAATCAATGGTGGTGGCAAATACATATAAACAAATAACTACTGAGCTCCATGAAGAGGAGGGAAAAACCTTAAGACCTCTCTACTCAATGTGTGGTCCAAGGACCAGCAGCATCGACATCACCTGGGAGCATTTCAGGCCCCACCACTAACCTCCTGAATCAGAACCTGCATTTTAACAGGATCCCCAGTAATTTGGATGCTTATTAAAGTTTGAGAAGGCTGAACTGCAGAATTACAGAAGAAACCACTATCGAGTCTTTGGGAATTGGTCAGAGAAGTCTTCACAGAGTAGAGAGTGATTAAGAACTTCCAGGCTGAGAAAAGACCAGGCCCATGATCATGGCAGTTAGAAAGAGCAGGAAGAATTCTGGAATGAGAAGTTTAGTCTGAGTAGAGCAGTGGACACTTTGGAAGATGTGGAAGACAGGGCAGAAAAGGTAGGCTGAGGCCAGAGCAGAGGGGTCAGGCTGACCTGAGAATTGGGAGGAAATCATTGACAATTTTAAGCAGGAAAGTGACATGATGCGACTCTTATGTTTAAACATAACTCTGGTGGCAAAAGGAGCCCCAGTGGCACAGTGGTTAAAGCAATCAACTGCTAGCCCAAAGGTCAGCGGTTTGAAACTACCAGTCTCTCTGTGTGAGAAAAGAAGATGTGGCGGTCGGCTGACAGCCTCGGAAACCCAATGGGGTCTCTAGGAGTAGGAATCAACTGATGGCAGTGGGTTTGGTGTGTTTTTTTTTTGGTCTGGTGGCAAAGTGGAGGATGAAATGTAGCAGAGACTGGAGCAGGCAGATATGTGTCCATAAATGACCAAGATTCGATTTTGGACTAGAAAGAACTCTCCAAAGACTTTGAGGTGGAGAGGGCACTGAGTGCTACATGATAGAGAAGCAAAGAGTTCCAGCTGCAGCTGGATACAAACAGGTTCCCTCAGCCTAGAGCTCTTGAAGTATGGTCCCAAATCAGCAGCATTAGCCTCACCTGGGAATTGTAAGAAATGCAAATTCTCAGGCCTGACCCCAGATATACAGTCAGAAATTCTGCGGTGGGGCTCACAAATCTGACTTTTTACAAGTTCTCCAGGTGATTCTGATGCATGCTATTAAGTTTGAGAACGACTGCTGTAGCCTGCCCAAAATCTGGAGGGCAAGTAGTAAAAGCTAAGAAACGCCACGATTTGCTTACTCTCTTAAAAAATCAAAACCTAGGACAAGAGTAATGAGAAATGAGTTTCTATGTCGAGTGGGCAGGAAAATAAAAAATACTGACCGTCTTGTCCAAAAGCCTCAACATTTGGGCAATTAAAATAATTTTGGTAGAAGCCAGAATGTACTCGGTAGCCGAAATTAAACTTAAAACAAAGTCAAGTGATTACTCCAGTTGCAGAATCTATCTCCGTTCCCTTTATTTCCCACCAAAACACCCTCAGGAAAACGCTTGGATTCCTTCTGGCTCTCTGAAAACTGTTTCTGACGCAACCATCCATTAAAAAGATCACAATCCCAAATTTAAAAGCCCCAAAACCGAGCAGCGGGGCTGGCGCCATCAACCCAAGGCAACGTTGCCGTTTCCCAGCCACACCCCTGCGGGCTTCCGGGCCTCCTTCCCCGGGCTGTTCCCAAAGATAAATAAATCACTCCTTGTTTTCTAGACCTGAAATTAGCGGTGACTCATAGAGCACTCGAAATGGCCACGGTCGCCTCGGGAAGGAGGAATAATGTGTAGATTTTTCCCCTCACCCGAGGGCCCGACGTGCCGGCCTGGGCCAATCAGCGGAGGGTGGCGGGAATCGCACCAAAGTAGGTAAAAAATGCGGGATGCGTCCCCTACTCCATTGCTCGCCCCACAGCTCCCACTGGTCCCCTCCCTTGGGTCTTCGTCCTCTGCGGGCCCCGCCCATCTTTCCCCTCCCGCCCCCTCCCAGGCCCCGCCCCCAGCAGCGGCGCATACCTGGCCAGGTAGCTACGTACTTCCATATAAGGGCAACGCTGCGAGGTGGGCGGGGCGTCACGTGACCCCGCCCCCGAAGAGGGGCGAGGACCTCCCCTCCTCAGCTCATCCTTTTCCCCGCCTCTCACCGGCAGGTGCCAGTCCAAGCTCCCCCTACGTGTCCCCAACACACGAGGGAGGATCCACGACCCCTCAGGCCCGAACTGGTGGGGGCGACCCTCCCTCCCCACTTCCCTCCCTCACTCCCCTTCCCTCCTTTTCTCCCCACATCCCTCTCTCGCCCCGACTAGGTGAGGGAGGATCCCCACCCGCCGGGAGTCTGGAGAGCGGCCTGGGCGGGGCGTTGCCAGGCCGGTCGGTTGCGTAGCAACGGCGGGCGGCGCGTGACGTGCGCAGCCGCGTTCCGGCCCGGGTCGCGCGTCTTCCCACCCCCTGGTAGGCTCGCGCCGTAGCGTCACCACATCCCTCGGTTCTGTGGTCTTGCTGCCGCGAGGAGGACGCTCTACAGATTCCGTGCCGGCCAACTCCCTTCCCCGCGTCTCTGCGACCGCCGCGACGAAGATGGTGAGTGGGAAGGGGCCCGGAGGCGTGGCAGGGGCGGTGGCTTTTTGGGCGCTGCGGGGGTCGGGACTGAGGGGCGAGAGCGGCGCGCACCGAGACGGGAGGACCCTGGGCCCGGCTGCGGGTGCCCCGTAGAGGCGTTCTCGTGCTTCGGTCGCCTGTGGTCCCAGCTGGGCCCTCCGCGCTCGGGGCGGCTCCCCGGCTGCCGCCCTGGAGCGTCGCCTTCGCGGTGTCCCCTTGCCAGGGCCTTGGTGCGACCAGCCAGAGCCGAGCATCCCCAGCCCCCTCCGTTAAATTGGTCCGGAGGGGTCCGCACTCAGGCGGGACCGGGGGGTGGGGGTCGGAATCTGGCGACAGTCCTTGTTGGCGTAGGCTTCCCCAAAGCCGGGCACTGAGGCTGTCTGTGACTCGTGCGCGTTTCAGCCCTCGAGGAGTGGTTTGGCAGTCTGTCCATCTCAATAAAGAAAATAAGGCCTTTATTGAACAGCCCTAGCGGGCGGAATAATCACTAACGAGCATGACCCTGGCATGATTAAGAACAGAATGGCCTTGCAGCCGCTTTGTTTGTCGTATCTGGCAATCAGCTTCCAGCAGCACTCTCGTTGTGCTTGTCAAGCTTGGCGGTGTCCCCTTTAACCCCTCCACTGCCCTGTCTGTCCATGTATGGTTAAACGTTTTTTTTTTCACCTGTAAACAGTTTGGCTTTGCCAGAACTTAAAGTGTGCCAGGTGTGGGCATGATGCTGGGATGCTAATAAAAGCAAATGGAAAAGCTTTTTTAAAAAATCCATTAAATTATCCGAGTCACTAAAAAGTAAGCAGATGCTCAGGATATTCTAGGAAATGGACGCTTTACTTATATATTTTTTCCTCTAAACTGTAACTCTAATTTATTGTAAAACAATTCTTAACTGGACGATCAGGTGGAACATTTTCTTTAGTCTTCACACACTATTACCATTTTTGGTCAATGATTTGCAGGCAAAGGCTTACTAGCCTTTGCTAGAAATATTACACTGTTATTGCATGTGTCTGCCTTGAAGCAGTTGGTACCAGTTTTTCTGCATAGAAAATGCTTTCAAGAATAACAATTTTGTTTTTCTTAAGATATTGCAGCTTTAATGAATATGTAGACTGGTCCATTAGTGGAAGAAAAAGATTAACCACTGATTTCTTGATGACTGGGAATATGTAGAAAGAATTTTATATTGTTCAGTTTTGGGTTCTTCTTTGCTTTAATTCTATAAGCTCTAAGGAACATCAACATCTTAAGACTTCTTAACATAGAATTGTAGATATATGTAGTGTTCTGTACTAAAAGACTTATTTTTTAACGTAAGTTGTTTGAGTCCTGATAAATTTAAGGCCATCCACTCTGATGAAAGTGCTTTGAAGTGGGCTGGAACCTGCTTTAGGGTCTTTTGATTTGACGTTCTATTTTTTTTTTCTTTTTAGTTGCTAAAACAGACTTTATTTTCTGTTTAAAAACAAGATCAAGTATTTTAACTTTAGTTATTCATACAATGTAACCTTCATGTTTCTGTACCTTCAAATAAAATAAAGGGTCTGTTAAATTTAGTGGTTCTTAGGGGGTGAGGGAAGAAATAAAAATCAAGGTAGGTGAATTCCAAATACATTTCAAACTTGCTGGACTTAAAAGATCAAAAAGACTTACAGGCTACTCTTGTTTGGATGCTTCTTCAGGGTTCAGAATATAGATCGACCATTTTTAAAGGTTACTTTTGTTTTTAGCTTTATGAGCACAGAGCAGATCCTTTCAGCCCAGCTATTAGAGAATATTGTGAAGATGGAGAAAAGTCCCCCCCTCTCAAGATTAAATTTAACTGCAGATGGATTCTAAATTAGCAAAATCACTTCCTGGTACTCACCAAGTCTTCTAGAAGCACTTGGAAATAAAGCAATTTGAAACCAACTTTCTGAGCACTTTAAGATGAGATTTCATGTTTTCAAACGTATCACTTTACAGTGCCCCCCCCCCAAAAAAGCATAAGCACATCTACACATCCCAAACAAAATTTTTGTGTGAGTGTACTTTCTTATACAGTGTTATATACCAGCCCGCCATTAAGTTCTTAGAGTTATTTGCCCAGTAGTTTTAACGAGTATGAGTTGAGAGATCACATATAGACTTGCCTAGCTCTGCTTGTAACCAACCATGTGCATTTGCAGCATAGCTGTATGGCTTGCTGGTAGTATGAGTGCAGCCTTGCCGCTGAAACACAGTAAAGGTCTACGTAATAACCTATCCCTTACCAGTTGTTACCAGTTGCCATCCAGTTGACTCCGACTTGTGGCGACCCCATGTACTGTCCTTCATAGGTTTTCAGTGGCTGATTTTTCAGAAGCAGATTGCCAGGCCTTTCTTTCGAGGTGCCTCTGGGTGGACTCAAATCTCCAACCTTTTGGTTAGCAGCTAGGCATGTTAACAGTGTGCCCCACCCAGGGACTCCATATCTCATCCTTAACCTTACTCTGATCAGAATTCTGCTTAACAAACTGAGCTAATTGGCTCAGACTGAATTACAAGTATATTAGACCACTTGGTGATTAGCAAAAGCACTTTTACTTATAACAGCCTAGTGAAATAGATTGGGCAAGTGTTGATGTGCCTATTTAACATATGAGAAAACAGACTGTAAAGGATTGACTTGTGACAGATCATCTTTTCTGATTGCACATCAAGCTTAAAATAATTTTAAAAATTAATTTTTTGCAGAAAAGGACACAAAATAACAGACCCCTTTGTACCAAAAAAGGTTAACATTTTGTCATATTTTGGCTTTTTGTTACTATTACAACTAAATACGCATCCTTTTCCTCAGCACATTCCCTTTGCTCCCCAGACAGTCATTTCTGTACTAAAGGTATAAGGTACCAGACAATTAAGGAGATGATTTAGGCTGTTGCAATAGGAATATCTCAAAGAAAAGTAAAGGGGCCTGGGGTTTTATGGAGTCAGGTAGACAAGGGAGTCTCGCGAAGGATAGAGACAGGTTTTATCGTGCAATATGCAAAGGCCTGGTCCTTTTCGGTTCCCCCTTTCCAGAACACAGTTACTAACCTGTTCTGCTTTCCAAGAGCATGTGGCTCAGGTCAAGTTCAACATAATCGCCTGAACTGATACATTTCATTCTCATTGATATTTCCATACTTTTAGCCATACATGTATGCATCTTTAATAATATATATTGCCTTGATGTGTTTTTAAATTTTTTATGTTATCAGGTTGCATATACCATTTTGCAATTTTTTTAAATAAAATTTTTTGATAATTTTTGATTTTTGCTTTAGCTCTGTCCTTTAGTTTAACTGCTGAATAGTATTCCATTATCTAACCATACAAGTTTATTCATTTCCCTATTGATGACATTTCCCCATTTCCCCAATTTTTTTTTTTTTACTATTTTATCTTTTTTGACTATTGTAAACTCCTTTGTAATAGACGGTTGCTATGTTATATTTCATTTCTTTAGCCCATACATGTGTCTCACCGGAGTATTTATCTGGAAGTATACCCCTGGAATGGAGGGCATGAATATTGTCTACTCTGCATAGTGGTTAATCTAGTTTACATCCAATCAGCTACATTTATGAGCCTGTTTCTCCATTTCCTTTCACCAGTTGGTATTATGAGACTAAACATTTGCCAATCTGATGGGCATGAAATGATTTCTCATCATTTTAGTTTGCATTTCTCTGATTAGTAGTGAGTTGAGTATTTTTTTATATGTTTATTGCATCATATTTTTACATGCATGCTGCATCCTGTGAATCTGACATTATGTAAATCTAAGCTTTTTGTGGAGCCATAAAATAAATCAGCATACAAATATATCAACAAGAATGTGATTGTTAATGCCAGTGCTTCCTACTAAGGACTAATATTCATCTCTGGCACTTTTCCTTTTCATGCTTTGCCTCTTACACTGCTAAGTAACTGAAGTTCAGTACTCTCAATTCTAGCAGCCACCTTTATCTGGCTCCTGGGAGTGGTAGAATGTAGAGTGAGCCAAGATAGAGTTTTCTTCTTTGCCAGGGGTGACTGAGATTAACATCCTCTACTTTTTATATCTTTTATACCTTTATGGTGTAGACTTTTGTGGGTTGCCCTGTTTAATTTGTGATATGGAATTGGTATGGCTACCAACATTGTTAATTACCTACATTTCTCCTTATGTTTAAGAGCTGTGATAGTGTATGAATTACTTTTTAGCACTTGTTAAGATGTTTTGTGAAACTACACCATTGAGCTCATTTGAGATGGGGTTTGTACATTTCAATAGCAAAAATGCCTTTGTCATAGTAGGTTCACAACAGATGTTAGCGAATGAGTGAATGACAGTGAGTGAGAGGGCATTCTTAGTTATGACAAGGGACAAGTTCCCATGGAGATGGATTAATTTTATACCCCTGGCTGGTGCAAATGGTTAAGCACTCAACTACTAGCTGAAAGCTTGGTGGTTCGAACCTACCCAGAGGCACCTTGGAATACACGCCTAGTAACGTGCGTCCAAAAGGTGACAGCCATGAAAACCCTGTGGAGCTGTTCTACTCTGCACACGTGGGTTGCCGTGAGTCAGAATCAACTGACTGCTGCTAACAACAGTCCCATATACTTTTTTTTTTAGTACAATGGAAATTGAGTTTTAAGTACTAAACTAGTTGAATAGTACGCCCCCTTTGTATACTGCATTACAATTTAATTTGAATTTTACAGTGAAAATCCTTTGAGATAGATAAAGCAAGAACTGTTAGAGTAACACTTTAAAATAATTCTGGCCTACAGAAACCTCTCAATAAATGCCAGTTTCCTTCCTTTCCTTAAACGTGAAACTGATGCTCATTAAGGCATCCTGAGCCATAGAAAAAGTGCTTGAAGGACTAACAAAAGAAAGAACAAGAAGTAATGCTATCTTAGTTAACTTGTAAGTATTTACTGTGTGTCAGGCATTGTGTTACCTCATCTCATTCAATCCTTATAGC